CAAAAAGGTTTGTAATACAGTTCAACTACACAGAACCTATTTATCAAACCCCAATTTTTTGAAAGACATTTTAAAAGTGTTAGCGTCAACTTGCTTTAAAGATTCGATTGTATAAAGATCATTTTACATATTTTTGGTATATAAACTAGAAGATGATCAAATTTATGCAAATGATTTTTAGATTAATTGTTTTCAATTTATTTCTAAAAATAAGAATTTACTAATTTTTACTGCTTTAACAAAGGTCATGTTGAAAATCTAAAAATTTGAGCCTCTACCCCCTCAACCCGAGATTATCAAGGCTAATTACGCCACTGCACTAATGCCACCATGTTTTATACTTAGAGTAGCCACATTTTATCTTTTCGGAAAGGCAACCCTTTATTTAGATTCTATATATTCTGGCTAGCGTTGAATTTAGAGAATGACTATTTTCTATAATAAATAAAATTTGGAAAGACGACCAAGGTAAATTTTCCACGAAATCGATAAGTGAAACTAATTACTTATAGGAAATTGAAATCTGAGAAAAATTTGATTTTAAGGTTTTAGAAAAAAAAATTATTTCTTTTTAAAAATGGCAAAAAAAAAACAATCGGAAATACTATTTTTATAAGAATTGATTTTATTGTTTTAATATTATTATTATATTTTTTCCTATTTATTTGCGAATCGTTTAGTTGTATTGAATTTATTATGAAGATGAAGGTTAAAAAAGAGATAATTTTAATATTAGAAATAGAGATCTGAAATGCCAGGCCAGGAAAAAAATGGACCGAAATATTGATGAATTTTCAATATTTGTTAGAAGTAAATGATAATCCACTAGAAGTGGCTGGGCCTAAATTTTTTTGCCGTATGCCGATCTCTAATTATGAATTCCATATTTCTTTAAAAAATAAAAAATTCCTAAATGTTCTACTTTCACTATTCATATCACGATACATTCTTTAAATATTATTGAAAGTATCACGATACTTTCACTCCTCATCGAAATATCAAACAATTATTAAGTTTTTATTTTTCGGAGTCGCCCATTTTTTCTGGCATCGAAAAATTGATAAATTTTAAAAATATTAAAGTTAGTTTGATATCCTTTTTTTTTTAAAAAAAATAGAGATTTAGAAATATAAAAAAATTATTACGAATAAAATATAATTGTTAATTTAAAAAAAACTCCCAGAAATTTAAGGGTCAATGTTAATTATTTCGGGGTCATGCTTATAAAAATTCTTAAAAAATCAATCTAATTTGCAAATCAAAGATTAATTATCTTTTAAGATGCAATAAAATCCATTTTTTTTATGTATTAAGTGATGGAATCACACGGTCGCCTCCAATCTACTATATATCATCTCTACCGTTACCTCAGAAGAAGAAAAAAAGTCCTTGCTGGATTCGAGTTCAAAACTATCGTATTAGCGATTCGCGTACATATTCGACCTTTGCCAAAACGATGATTTTTTAAAAAAAATATATATATTATAACCAAATGTTGCGGTGTCGATCATCCAAACTAGTGTTGTTAAATAGCTAACTCAGTATTATAACCAGAAAAATATTGCATAAACCTTTGTGCCATTTATGAACAAAATTTTAAAGCTTGCGTAATATTTTTCTGGCAAAAAAAATTATTGAGTAAGTCATTTATTTAAACAAAAAATAAATTGAAATCTTTCTTTCTTTCTTTCTTTCTTTCTTTCTTTCTTTCTTTCTTTCTTTCTTTCTTTCTTTCTTTCTTTCTTTCTTTCTTTCTTTCTTTCTTTCTTTCTTTCTTTCTTTCATCCTTTCTTTAAAAGGAGAAACATACAAAAATTTATTTTATAATGCAAAAAAAAACGTAACTTATAATTTTATTTTTTTTTGAATTTTAAATAATAATTTTATTTCTTTTAAGAAGTTTTGAACTGGAGCAAGAAAACTAAGACAAATTTAGGGGTTCTAAGAAAAGTTCTGAGGCAGAAATATATTTATGATTCACAGAAAAAGATATTTTAAAAAAATATTTGTTATTTTTTTCAGGATAAAATTTGATCCAATATCTTTCCTCATTGCCAAAATTATTTTTTCTTTTACAAAATTTTCTAAAAGTGTAAGCAAATATTATAATATATTGGTTGAAGATGTTAATTCATTTTTGGTTTATTTTACTGTGTCAAACGGCTAGATTTGGCCAATTTTAAATTAAGAATTTAGACAAAATAATATTGCGCAAACCTTCAATATTTTATTGCTAGATGTCCAAAATCTTTCTTCAACCTATGAACAACCACTCCAGGCATTTTTCGTTAAAATGTTAGGCAAGCCGTTTTTTTTCAAGCCCTTTTAACAGCACAAGTATATTTAGTGTTAAAACAGTGTTTGGAAAAAGAACCTAGAATCCTAGGAACTGCATCAAATATTGGAACCGTTTTAAAATTTTGATTTTTAGAAAATCTACAACAACCTTTTAAAATTATACAAGTTATAAACCCTATTTAGACTAGGTTCCAATTGAAATTTTTTTTAAAAAAACAAGTGTTTTTGGTTTATATTATATTACTCCCCTGCCCTTTTCCTAATAAATTAAATATGGGCAACAAATAAAAAAGAAAATCGAAATCGAAAAAAATTATAAAAACCAAAAATACGCCTCCACATCATCTACATGACAGTCCCTGGATGCAAACCCCTCTCAAAAACCTATGCCTTTTCCCATTATTAATTTCACCTTCCTTTCATAAATTATTTTAGCTCTACTATCAGTTAACAAAATATTATGAATATAAAAGAATTATTTTTTAGATCATGATTCCAATTAAAACCCCCCATCATTTAAAATGAATGCATTATAGCATATTGTTTGGCATGAATGTGAGTTTGCAGAGAATAACTAACACTTAAATGATAGCAGAAAGCTTTATTTCGAAAATAATATCTATAAATGTTTGCAGGATTTGGTCGATGATCTGATCAGCAATAATATTATATATAGGTCTATCATAAAAGTATTAATCTTTACAGCAATATATTTTGTCCTATTTCCTCTTATAATTTAATAAATAACCTTCCAATAAATTTATACTATACCCCTCTTAAAGGCTCCTACCCCCTACCGCCCTCAATAAAAATTGGAAAAACTGTTCATCTCCCCCCGTTCATGCAGACACTGCACCTCCCTCCTTCACAATTTTATTATAATGTAGCATCTTCACAACTACATACTTCCCTTGAATTTAATGATATTGCATCATAAGCCCCCTCCAATGGAAGATGTCTCTGATTAAATGTATTACCTCGTTGATTGTTACATGTCTAAATTTTCCTCCTATTTGTGAGAAAAATCTCCAAGCTTATATAATTTACTTTTTAGCCAAAATCGATATCTCTCCGTTTTTAAAATCGGCTAATCAAGAGGTATAAACAAGACTAGATGAATGGGATTCGTTAGATATTTTTAAATTCCTTTCATGTTGCAAATATAATATCAAACTTTTATAGCTACTCTATTTTTTAAAATAATTCTTATTTTTATTTTTAAAAAAACATGCAAATAAATTGAAAATTAATTTCCTTCATTAATTTAATATTATGTACAAAATATTATATATATAACAAATCATAAAATAATCAAAATATCGAAATTTTTTTTAAAAATATTGACAACCCGATATTTTTTAAAAAATGCGAAATAGCGGTACCGATCCAATATTTAACATTAACAGTGTCATAACCTTGTCGTTAAAAATTTATTACCTGCACATTTTGAATTTGCATTTGTAAAATAGAGCCAAATTTATTCAATGAAATATTAAAACCAGACTGACTCTGGTTCCAAAATCTCGACATTTGTAGGCCTTTATTATATATCCTTAAGGCAGTGGCATAACTAGGAATTTTTCTTAGAGGGGGTCCATACATATAAAAGCCTGGGGGCTTCACCCTCCAGACCCCCATTAACGGGCCTTCGGCCCTTTTCCCTGTCCTTTGGCCGGGTTAATCTTACAAATTATAACCATATCTTCTATAATATATAATAAATACATTTTTTAAATGTATCAATAATATGTTATTATAATTTAGTAGATTATTCTCAATGACTTTATAATAATACTATCCAGAATAATTTCAATAGTAATATAATATCCTTTCACAAACATCAAAACTAGAAAAATATAAATATTAATGGCATTTATTTAATATAAAGTCACTTTTAAGTCTTTTGAACGTATAATCTAGAAAAAAGATTTAGCTCTGGGAGGGGTCCAAACCCGAAAACCACCCCCGTAGCTATGCCACTGTCATAAGGGAATTAACAAGTTAATTATTAAAATTGTTTATTTTAAATTTATATAATCCAATATTAACATTGCATCATTTAATTAATCTCTTTTTGACACATCTGCCAATATACAAAAACTAGGATAAGGTTACTAAAATCAACACTTATATATGATTTCTTAGTAACCAAATACTTGTTTTCCAGTTTAAAATATGTTCTAAATAAGAGTTAAATATATGATATTTTTTAGAACTAATATATATATAGACTATATTATCAGATAGTACATATTTGAAATGTTACATTTAAAAAAAATGATTGATTAGGTTCATAAAAACTTAAATTTCATTTCTTAAGAACCAAATACTTATTCTTGTTTTCCAAATATTTTATTTTTCAAAACTAATTTATATAGACTATATTATCACATAGTACATATTTGAAATGCTACATTTAAAAAAAAATGATTGATTAGGCTCATAACAAATTAAATTCCATTTCTTAAGAACTAAATACTCATTTTTGCTTTCTAATCAAAATCTGAATTCTTTTAAATAAGTAGTAAATATATTTTATTTTTTAAAACTAATATACATACATAATATATTATCAGATAATACACATTTAAAATGAATATATTAAAATTTACATATATATATAAAATGGAGGATAATTTGTACATATAATACTAACATCTATAAACTTATTTAAATATTTAAAATAATAGTAGTCGAGTTTATCAGGATGAAGATAATTGTATCAAAGCTAATGCCACATTTAGTTTATCATTATATTCTTTGGTTTGGAGGTTATATTTAACTGTTTTTATATATTTTTTGTGAACAAAATTGGTTTCCTCATATAATTTTGGAACATTTTGATGTAAATTTTTCTCCATATTCTCCAAAATAGGTTGATTTATATGTAAGGTATTATTATAAGGGGCATGGTAAAAGGATTGTGTAGAACTTTTGATTGTATTCAGTGTAGGGCATATATTTTCCTTGTCTTTAGTCTCTTTCAATTTTGATATTTTGGAGAAATCTGACTTTTTAAATTTTCTTTGTTTTTTATATATACAAAATAAATAATAATCAAAACTGTCTATTTATATTAGAGATATGCATGGCACAAATAATTTTCTTTCTCAGACTGAGGAACTGAACTTATGCAAAATATTTTTCTTTGGGCTGGGCCAACCCTTAATTTTTTAATTTAAATTTATGAATTTAATTCATAAAAAAATACTGCAAGCAAATTTAAGTTTTTGCCCATATAAAATTGGGCCAAGCCAAGTTCAGCTTAATCTCAAATTAATATACGAAACATTAGAGGCTGGCATGGGTCAGCTAAAATTAGAATTTTTGAAATCTTATCAGTTTATCTCATAAATTTTTTTTTGCCCAGCCTATAAAATAATTAGGTCAAGTTGTCGCTGTAATAATTTTTATGAAAGAATAAGATGTAAATTTTTTTTGGGGTGTTAAAAAGCCCAATAATATTATGTAAAACTGGAGATTTTGCTCATAGATGGCAGAAATGTTTGGACCTATATTTGCTCAATCTCATAGCCTACATGACATTATTTTGGGTAGGATATAAATTGTGCTATTTTAATAATTGACTCAAATCAGGCTTTTTAACAACACTAGTATAGCCCAGAAAAATAATACCTATCCAGCTTAATCTTAAAATATTTTTGGAGATTTCAGACCAACCTCTACTAAATATATCATAATATTAAATATACAGCATTTTAAAGAGTTGATTAGATTAATACTAATATTAAAAAATTTACTTAGATTCTTGTGAAAATATGTTTCTATTTGTTGATGCTTTATCAAATCGTTTCAATGAAATGAAAGGATGTTCAGGACATATTCTATTTGGATGAGCAAATTTAGTTTTACAACCTTTGTAGATTTGAAATAAAGTTAAAATATGATAATTAATTTAAAATATGAATGTTATTAAATTATTACCTGGATATGTGCACACAAAAGGTTTTTCCCCAGTATGTAATCTTTGATGTGTTTTCAATTGTCCACTTTGAGCAAATGATTTATTACAATCATTGAAATAACAAGCAAATGGTTTTTCGCCTAAATAAAAATACCATAGAAGGTAAAATGGACTAATATTTACATAAAAAACGATTATGTATTTAAAAAATGATAAAATTTAAAATGCTATAATTTATTAACAAATTTACCTGTGTGAGTTCTAGTATGAGCTTTAAGCGATTTTTCTCTTGGAAATATCCTTTGGCATATTTGGCAACGTATTTTGTGAGGTGTAACTTTCCCTTTTAGCATAAGGTAAGAAATGTTATCCAATTTCGGTCTGCCTCTCTTATTAACCAAGCCAGCGGTATTCTCATCCGAATTATTATCAGCTAATATATTTGGATTGTTTTGAGCGTTTTCTGGGATTTTATTAATTTCTAATCCAGGCAAATGGTGAATATATGAATATGGATTCGGTAGTGAATATAAATCTTCATTTTCTGTTTCAATAATTTTATTAGCCTCATTTTCATTGATTAATCTGTTCATGGTATTATTTATTATAATTATAGGTTATCAATTGACGATTTTTAAAAACAATTTAAAATTTAAGCGCTTGAATAGTGGCGCGCAAAATATTTAAAAACAATTTTATTAATAACCTCAAGGAAAAATGTTTTTTAAATAATTTTAAGTTAATTAATAAAAAATACATTGTTATAAACAAAAATGGGCAGAATTACATATATTATTAAAATAAATAAATATATATTTAAAATTTAGGTAGCAGTAAAACAAAAGTACTTTAAAATAATTTGTTATTTTAAACATTAAGGGGGGGGGGTGGATAGTATCGGGGGTTTAATTAAATAATGCTCTAAAAATATTTTCATATAGTGTACGTTTGATATATATCAAATATTTAGATGATGGTAAACTATTAGTTATTTTATCATAAATATTGGGGGGGGGGGATAGTATATGAGGTATAATTAAATATTGCTCTGAAAATATTTTCATGTAGTGTACGTCTGATATATATATATCAAATATTTAGATAATGGTTAACTATTATAAGACTATTTTTTAAATATATAAAGATGTTTTATTTGTTTCTAATATGTAAGAAATGTATAAGGTTGTATAAATCTTTACATAGAGCTATATATTAAAAAAAATAGTGAACTAAAATAATTTTAAGAAAAACCTAATTGAAAATAGTGCTAATGTTTTTGGAATCGATATTGTTTTCTATATATTTATTCATGTTTTCTATATATTTATTCATTTACTTGACAACAGCATATAAGAAGTGGATGAAAGTATATCATATAATGCATCATAATAATTACCATAAAAGTGTCAAAAGATGACTATCAAAAATGTCTTATTACAAAAATATTAGTATATCTATTTGTTAATCGTTACCAATCAATCATCAACTTATGCAAAACGAAAATAAAATGTTTTAAAATTAAATTTAACTTAACCGATAATATTGTAACGCGATAAAATATAAACAAAACTAGAATAATTTAAATCATACCGTGACTCAAAAAACTAAAACATATTTATATATATCAAATAGCTAAATTTAAAAATGTTTATTTGTATGCTTTGCCTCTGCCTAATGAATAAGAATTTCCTAGGTTCATAAGACCAAATAAAAATCTTAAAAAAATATTTTAGGAAAGAAATTAGAAAAAGAAAGCTAAAATTTTTCTATAAACAAAAATCCAAGGGAAGAAGTTCTCTAATAATTTTATGTCAAACTCAACCGTTAATAAGTTATTACTGCGTTTCTATAGATAAAATTAGGAATTTCATATTAAAAATAGGAGATAGGCAGCAAACTAATAGTTTAAGACAGCAGTTGAGATTGGCGAAAATAATTTTTCTGGCTAAAGGAGGCTGGAATCTCAGAAAAATAGCTAAAACAAGGTGGTAGACACCTGAAAAAGACCGTCGATAGTTATACGATGAAGAGATCTTACTAACTCTCTCTATAAGACAAAAGCAATCATATCTCTAGCTAAATCATTTAAGAATCTGAGCAAATTTGAAATGTTAAATCCGCTTTGATTTATTTTAAATAATGGGGCAACTCTCATTATATCTTCAAACTAAAAATTTGAAGATTTATCAGCTTGAAAAATGATTAAAGATGCCAAGTTTCCTGTTTCTTTTATAATCTTCACCTCCATTCAAAATGAAGCTATAAAAAAATGGATACAAATTTAAATGAAAATATTCCTAATTTAAAACTACCAGATAACATCTAGATATGCCAAAAACTCAAATACGTCTAACAAGGAAGATGTAACTGAATGATGAATGAGATGAAGGCTCGAAACTCTGATTATTCTCTATATTTTTAAAGCATCGTCCTACAATTGATCAAATTATAGTTTAAACATAAGATTTTAGGTGAATAAAGAGCTTATAATTGTATTTATCCGAAGAATTTTGATAAAATATACATCTAAGGTATTTCTGGCCTTGATGAAAGTTTCACAAGTAGAACATGTATTCAGTGTCAAATTACCACAAGAATTTTCTTCGTTTGCCCTTATTTATGAAGAATAGTCAGGTTAATGAAAATATTTATTATAATTTGTGAATGTGAGGAGTCTAATAAACATTAATACATTACACGATAATAGTTACCCAAACCAAGTAATCATGCTCAATTTATATAAATATCTCTGAAATTTTTTGATGCTTGGACATGTTACTTAATAAGGGTTAACGATTACCGTTATCAAATATTATCGTCACTTAAAAAAATTATTAATGGTTCATGTTTATTAAAATAGATGATTCTTAAATTCTTGTGCTTTATAATTGATCAAATTTTTTGAAAATATTTCATAATCAAGTTTTGAGTAATGTTGCCTTTTCTCATCTTTAATTTTACTGCATGTTTGAAATAAAACATAAAACGTAAAACGAAAACAAAACACATGAAATATTCTATTCTACCATTTACTCTTATAATAAAATGTAAATAATGTGAAACTAAATAATATATTCTTTTACCATTTTTTTTAAAAATAAAAGACCGTATTTATCAATATAGAACTAAAATCCCCAAGTATTTTATTTTGATACCCCAGTATATATCCAAAAACAAGCAAGGTGAATTATAAATAAATAAATAAGTATATATATTATAACATTTTATTCTCCTTTGATTTTTATGCATAAATGATTATTTCTTGTAAAGAAACAAATATTTTTTTTTGTATTATAAAAAATAGTTTTTAATTAGTTCTTTATCTTTTGGACTTGCATTCGGGCCTACAGGATTGAGCGCATTTGTCTCTGAAACTTGAACAAGCACCTTGCTTTGCTAAATCATTGCAGTTGCTAAATTGGTTTACACAAAATAGCTCTATTTTTTTAAAAAAAAATATATATAATGATTTGTAATTTCTAGTTTAGGCATCGACCTTTTAAAAATTTAGGGCATTTATTATTCTTTCCGCGAAAAAAATATCCTATTATTATTGATAAAAATTTGTTGAAACAGATAAAAATCAGGGCTGAGAACCGGAACTCCAACCGTGAGCGAACCCAGATCCTTCGAACTCTCAAGATTTTTAAACCCAAACCCTTTGTTTTTAAATGTGGGGTTAAGAGTTTTTTTTGTGAAAATCGTTTTTATTTTATTTTTTAACATTAAAATTTTACCATCACATTTTGTTTTATTGTATTTTTTTAAATACATTTTTTTTTAAACAAATACAAAATTAAAAATTAGGGGCTATAATTAGTTTGTTAAATGGCTCGATTTGAGCCGATTTTTATAAACGGCTTACTCAATATTTTAACCAGAAAACTCAAAATTTCTCTTATATTAAAGTATAACTTGTTTTTTTTTACCGCATGATTCTAGTAATTTCCCAGCGTATACATTCTTTGCACAAACACCACCTTTTATGCAACCCTTGCATGATTGAACAGCTGATTTTTCATAAGGTACATAATATGGAGGTGAATTGCCGCTAAAAATATTTATATGGATAATTAAAATAATCTATTATTCAAGTTTCAGCACAATAAATAGATCTTTAAAATTTTTCAATTATTATAATTATAACCTCGGATAATAATTGCATGCATATATTTTTTCCCCAGAACATTCCGTCATTCCGCATCCAATTTCTTTTGTAGTACCCCACACAACCTAATATTACCAATAAAAAAAAATTATTCATATTTCTTTCTTTCTTTTTCTAAATTTGATTGCAAATATTATTTTCCATTTTAAATTGATTATCGACAATTTTATTTTAAAAATATAGGAAATCATTGCTACCTAACCACGGTCTCTCATATATATACTGTTTTTAAATATGTTATTAATAGGAATAATATAGAATACATTTTTTTAAAAATCATATTCTAAAGTTTAATATGGGGGACTGGGGTATAGTGGATTGGATTTAGCAAAAAAACTCTTGTAAAATTGGTAAATAGCAAAAGATATTACCAGAACTGCAAAAGATATTACCAGAACTAAATAATGATCTATCATATACAATTAATATTTCTAGAAAACTGAATTTTAACTTCGATTTTTTTAGGAAAAAAGACTAGGGCCATAGGATCACATATAGGATCCTGTATATTTTTATATATTTTATTTAAACAAATATTCTTATATTATAAAGATTATGGGAAACACAAAAAATCTAAAATTTTATGGTATAATATAAAAAAAAATTATGCTAAAATATTGTTAATATAAATAGTCCTATTTGCCTCGGTTCAACGTGCCCCTTGCCCTCATTTCTAATATGAAAAACTAATAAATTATATTATAATGCAAACACACATTACATTATATACGATGAATCATACATTATAATTTTTTATTCACACTTCTGAGGAAATTAAACAGCAAAAATTCCTTATGTTTTAGAAGTAAAAACATTAAGTACAAAATTTTATAAAGTCGAAATAAGGCAATATTTTTTGTACATAAAAGTATAAAATATAATAAATATCTATTATTGTATTAAATTTTTAACTTTTAGATTTAATTAGTATATTAAATTATATTAGATTAGACTCATGAGGCCTACTGGTACTTAGAGCCCCCGGTCTTTTCTATATTATATAGTATATTATATGCAATACAATAAAAAAACTAAATTAAACAAATTTAATTATAACCCTGCATTATAGGTTAGCGCCAATTCGCGCCGAAATACACTAAAATACATAAAAATACAGCGTATTTCGAAGCAACTTCGCTGTAACTATAAATGATGGGTAAGGGTCAACTATTTTTTAAAATGGTACTAGGAAATTGATTTTGAAGGTTTGTGTCAACTAATGATAATATTTATATCATCATATAACAATATATAAATTAATAATCACTATATAAAAACCCTAAAAAAATTCATAAATTAAACAAAAACAAACAAAATAATAATAATAATAAAATCGATTTTATGATAAAGTTCATTTTATTTTACTTGAGTATAATGACCAACTGATTTAAAATTCCCTCGCTCTACCCCGAAAGTAAAGCTGGTGACTTCATCATGCCACGTTTTAACGACATCCTTCCAATTGGAAGTTCCCGTTGTAGCGAATAAGTTTTGGCCTCCTGATGGATATTCTAATATAAATAATTATTTTATTTTTATTTTTTCTTGAATAATGAAATATTAAGCAAAATAATATTATTTTTTATCCTTTGAAAAAAGTAGAAAAAAAAATAATTTGCATTACGCCTGCCTCAAAGTTAAGCGATTTTGACATAGTAAATTTGTCCTTTCAAAAAAAAATTTTTAGACGAAATTCTATAAAACGCAATTAATACTCAAAAATCTGTAGATGATGTTCATTGGTATATTGTTTATTAAAATTATAAAATAGCATAACTTGCAGTTTATACGCGAATTTGAAGGAGAAAGTGAAAAAATTTTAATATTTAGAATCGCCTTAATTATTTACGCATTATATTTAACTATTTTTATTTTGATATTTTGAAAATCGCTTAGTTCGAGAGCTGGGCCTTATCTAACAATTTAGGCTCGGATTTATTCTGAGCCATAAAACCAGAGTTTAGAAAGTCTGAACACCTTCCGTTTCTGATTATTTTAAAGGCGGTTCTGGTGGCGATTCTTAAAAAAATTATGACAATGGGGTTTACGAATTCAGGTTTTGACAAGGTAGTTCTTATTCTAAATTCTTAGTTTTCTGTTTCTGGAAATCATGAAATAGCTTTTAGCTCCTTTTAAAAAAAATATCTGGCCTGATTCCTAGGATTCTTGTGTTCTAATTGTTGGAAAATATATCATCTTACTAATTACAAGTTTATATTATTTTCCACCTCTTCATAATTATCCCTTTTATTATATTCACCGATTATGGTCATCCCCGCCTATGCCAAAATCCTATAATCTTTATCTAAATATTCTGTAAATTAAAACATATATCCCAATGTCGGACAAAATTCTTTGATTTCGTGTTATATATTTATTTTATTTTAAATATATTAATCTATATTGAAATAACTAGAGGTTGCTCTATCTTTACTGGAGTCATGACCGAAAATACATTTTTGAGTCATTGCTTCAGCCTTCAAAGCTCCTTCACGATTCCACGTCTAATATGATAAATGTATAATTTTAAATATACAATGGTAAGTCTGGTTGATTAATTATAGTTTATTACCAATTTAAACATGGCGCTTGACGGGGGATTAACACTAGCTCTGAAGTCATTGTGAGTTTTAAGTATAATTTCGATTTCTTTTGCGTTCGGAATTTTTGCTTGTGGGCAACAAAATTATTATTTAGAATTATACTATATTTAATTTTAAAAGGATGTATGATTTATATATTAAAATAACTTTGTCTACAAAACGTAAAATAATTTATTTTTCCTAGCTCTATACATGGCAAATAGAATAATATGATCCACGCCGATATTAATAAAAGATAAATTACTAGCTTTAAAAAAAACCTCCTAAAGGCTATTCATTATATTCTCCCTTTTTTGAGATTATTTAATAAAACAAATATTTACCTGTAGCAACTTTCATTAAAACCAAAGTACACAATATAGTTAAATACATTCTATCGCGGTTTTGTTAAATAATTTAATAAATTTCTTATTTTTTTAAAAAAATTAAAAATTAAAGATTAAAATATATAAGTTAAGCGTTGAGAGTCATAAAAATGACTTTAAAAAATAAAGTAATCGGTTTGAATAACAAAATTTAAAAAAATAGGGGGTTCTGGCTAATTAAAATAAAATTTAATTTGAATATTAAATTTAATTTGAAATATAATTTTAAAATTAAATATAATGTTTTATTAATATAATATATATTTTTTCTTAAATTAAAAAAAATAGTATATTGCCAACTTCAGGTAAGGTATGTAAATATGTAAATAATTTGATAAGTTAAGGTTTCAAAAAACCTTTTTAAAATATATTTATACTAAATATAATTCAAATTGGCTTACAGAATTTTCATTTATTTTTTAAATTTTGGAAGTAATAGTAATTATTTTATTAACATCTTACATAGAACGTATGAAAAATATTATTTTTTTAAAAAAATAATAAATTTAAGCTTTGTGATATTTCGGAAATTCTGAAAGTCATAAAATAAATTGACTTTAAAAGTCGAGATAAATTGAATCGATTGTTAGTTCTAAATCATAATAATAAAATTTATTAACATGTTAGAATTTAAATAATTCAAAATTAATTTGATAATATAATTTTTAAAATAATTTCCTGCTTTATAGTATAGCAGGAATTTTTGTCATTCGGACCTGGAAAAAATTTTCTTGGCATTAGCATTACAATAAAAAAAAAAAATTAAAAACAATTCCTTTTAAGAAATTTTTATTATACTTGATTAAATATATTTAAAGGTTAGGAGATTACAAATTTCCTTTGTATAATTTTGAAATTAATGATATTTAGATATATTGTCCATTTTTTTTTCAATATAGTTACTTTATAAAAGTGCTTTTAAGCCGGTTATCTCATAACGATCTTCAAACCCGGATTGGACCGAAATACCCGATATTTTTGAGTTTCATGGAGTTGACAAATGTAAATCATTAATAATTTTTTTCACGCAACAGAGGTATTCAAAATGTAAACACCTTTTAAAGTTCGACAAATAATTCAATGAAATATAATCGTTTCTTCCATCTATTTAATAAATTCCATTTATTCATTCTTCTTCTATGATTACAATAAAATATTAAGGCAGTAAAAAAAACATTGAGATATTGAAAATTCTATAGGCTATTTTCCAATCAAGCTAATTAGGTTAAGGGGTTTTTTGAATCCTGTTCTTTATTAAATCATGATTATAATAATATATAATTTAAATTGAAAAATATTTGCTCCTAAATCTATTGAAATAAATAGAAGTTGTTTTTAGTCCAAATAGTAATTCTGTAAATTTAAAATGTCCTTTGAGCGTTGCTATTGTCAATATATCTCGCTAATTTTTATCCGCTCGTTCAAAAATCTATTTTTACCAAACTTTCTTCCTTTGGAATAACTAGGCAATTAAATCATTTGGTATAGGATACTCTCAATTTTCTAAAGCTAGATATACTCAATCTTTAAAATCTAGCGAAAAAAATCTTAAACTTCCATCTTCTTTTATTACGGGTGTCAATGAACTTGCCCACGTGAGATTTTTAATTGGTTCGATTATTTTATTTCCAACAATTTGTAAAATTCTTTACCAAAACTGCTATTCTTGGATATGGCACTCTCTTTGGCTATATGATTTTGGGTTTGGCGTCCTGTTTTAAAGGTACCTTATTAATGTTTTCTATAAGTTACAATTCGTTAATTAACTGCTAAGATTGGGATTGAAGTCTATTATACCCAAAAATTTCCTTAATGTTTTGGTTTTATCATAAAGAAAACAATGGCAGTATAAAAAATTAAATTAGTAAATATAAATAATCAATATCATAAATTAATTAGCCTTATTTTTTAATATTATTAAATTTTCAAACAATTTTAATTTTTGATGATTTGGTGTTTTGACCTAGCGGAATAATCTATCAACGCTAACAAAGGATTGTAATACTGTTTTTAATAAATATTTTATTATTTCCCTTATGCCGAGAGCTGATATTTTTGTTAGCTCCATTCGTATTGGCAAAGACTATGTTCAACTTTAGGTAATTTAAAATGCTTCTTATATGCTATAAAATATATGTCAAAATAAAAGAGATTTAAATATTTCTATTTTTTTTCAGGAATTATGAGGTGTGTTATATGAAAATTAGACATGTATAATATTTAGCCCAAAGAGATTTCAATTTTTAAGCACTATAATATCATGAAATATTCTATTCTACCATTTATTCTAATATCATAATTTATATAATATTTTACTAAAATGGTGTATTCTTTTAATATTTATATTCAATAAGAGACATATATATCAATAACTAAAATCACCAAATGTTTTATTTTCTACCCCAATATATATCATAAAAAAACAATCTAAAATGGCAAAGAGTGAAAATATAAATAAATATATAACAATACATTTTATCCTTTTGACTTTTATGTATAGATAATTACTCATAGAAACTAATAATATTCAATAATCATAAAAAGAATTGCTTTAATTATTCTTTCTCTATGACTTGCACTCTGGTAAACAGGATTTGGCACATTTGTCTTTGAAACTTGAACAAGCACCTTGTTTTGCTAAATCATCGCAATTGCTATAAGCGTTTACACAAAATAGATCTAATTTTTTTTTTAATATTTAAAATGTTAGAAATTTTAATATCTAGTTAAGGTATAGTCCGGTTATATAAAAGCGATTAACTTCTATTTAGGTTATTCATTTAAAAAGTTACAATTATTTTCACTTTTGGGAAAGAATAAATACATCATATTTACAGGTATATATAGAATTCGTAAATAAATATTTTAAATTAACAAGAACTTGTAATTAATAGCTTAAGATTGGAAATTCTATTCTAGTTATATTTATGCTATATATCATATATAGAATTTGAATATGCAAATATGTAAGTGTTGTTAAAATGGGGCATCTATTAACCAACTCTCGAGGTTTGCATAATCACTATTTTGGCAAACATCCTAAATCGAAAGATTTAACAACATTTACAACACGGGGAAAATATTTTTGAAAACCACTAAACACACAGTATTTTAGAAACGGGTTTCTTTTCAATTTTGTAAAACTGATATCCCGATTTTATTTTTAGATAAAATTTTTGTGATGAAAAATTGTTTTTCGAAGAATAACTGTTACCGCATGAATCTAGTAATTTCCCAGCATACACACCACTTGAACACACACCACCCTTTATGCAACCCTTGCATGATTGAACAGCTGATTTTTCATAAGGTGCATAATATGGAGGCAAATTACCGCTAAAAATATTTATTTGGATAATTTAAAAAATTTATTATTCCTATTTCAGCACAATAAATCAATATATAAAATTTTCAATTATTCTAATTAACCTAGGATAATAATTACAGGCAAATATTTTTTGTCCAGAACATTCTGTCATTCCACATCCAACTTCTTTTGTAGTGCCCCATACAACCTATTATAAGGAAAGGTTTTATTTTTTAAAATATTATTGTTTAAAATTTTGGTATTTATTATTTTCAATATGGTAGTAAATATTTTTTTTTATTTAAAAGGTATGCTAACGGGATCATAATGGAATTTGAAATTTTCTATCCATTTACGATATAAATCTTAAACAATCAAAAATGAAAAATATATGTTAATGATTAAGAATTCTTTAATACTTGTGTATAATGACCAACCGATGCAAAATTCCCTTTATCTACACCGAAGGTAAAGCTGCTGACTTCATTATACCATGTTTTAACAGCATTCTTCCAATTAGAAGTTCCTGTTGTCGCGTATAAGTTTTGTCCTCCGGATTTATATTCTTTTATGAATAATATTTAAAATTGGATTTTTTTAAAAAAGTTATATTAGATTTTAAACTGAAACACTCATTTTTTAAAAAAAATACTATATAAATACATTATATATATTTTGAAATAATAAAACTAGAGGTAGCTCTATCTTTATTGGTGTCATGACTGAAAACACATTTTTGAGTCAATGCTTGTGCCTTCAAAGCTCCCTCATTATTCCATATCTATTATGTTAATGCATGATTTTAAATATATAACATTTTTAGTTTATCCTGATAGTATAGTTGAATAATTATGTTTATTACCAATTTATACATAGCGCTTGACGGGGGTTTTACAGTAGATCTATAGTCATTATGAGCCTTGAGTATATCTTGTATTTCTGTTGCGTTCGGAATTTTCGCTTATATCAACAAAATAATTATTTAATATAGCATACTTAATTTTATAAGAAAAAATTTGCATTAGATAATAATAAAATATCTTGTCCACATATTTATAAAATAATTTATTTTTATCTAGCTCAATACATAGCATATGTAAAATGTTATCTTCCGACATTAGCTAACCTTAAAAAAATTCACTCGAGGTCTAACCATTTTATGTATTTTCCATTAAATCTTTAAATATTGTTCTAAACTTAGGATTATTAAGTATTTTTATTTTAAATAAAACGAGATAATAAGGGAATATAATAACACAAAATGTTTTAAAATCAAATATTTACCTGTTGTAACTGTCATTAAGACCAAAGTGCATAATATAGTTAATAACATCTATCTCGGTTACTACACAATTTAATTAATTTATCTTTTTGAGAAAAATTAAAATGAAATTTAGAGTTGTAAAATAAATTAAATTAAAAAGTATAGGTATAAAAAAAATTCTAAAATTAGGACAAATGGGTTCTTATTAATTAAAATATCTTGAAATTTAATTTATATTTGAAAATTAATTTGAATATTGAAATTAAATTTTGAATTATAGATATTATTTTAAAATCAAATATAATAATTTTATAAGAGTTTTTTATCAAAATAAAAAATATTTTTTTAAATTTGTAAGAAAAAAATATATATTATATTGCCAACTTGAGATATGTAAATATGTAACGTCTGTAATTGGATTATTTTTGGGTTAAAACCCACTTTTTATAGAATATATAACTAAATATAATTTACATTGGCAAATTACATAACTAATACTATTCCTAATTTGGAAGTAATGGTAGAAATTACATACCTTTTTAAATAACATATACTAGTTGAAATTTAAATTGGCAAATTACATAACTTATACCATTCCTAATTTGGAAGTAATGATAAGTATTACATACCTTTTTAAATAACATATACTAGATGAAATTTAAATTGGCAAATTACATAACATTTAAATTATTTTTAATATTTGGAAGTAATATCAAATATTTTTCAACTTCTACTAAAAGCGAACAGAGATATTTTTAAACAGAAATAAATTCAGAAATAATCTTTATGTTATAATTCAGAATCTTGAAAGTCATAAAATTAATTGATATTAAAAAGAAGAGATAAATTAAGCCGATTATTAGTCCTAAATTGTTATAACTAAATTTATTAAAATTTTAGAATTTAATTATAAAATTACGCCGAAAATATAATTTCTTTTAAATTTCTCGATCACTATACCAGGATCCTCGACAAATACTGCAGATAGAAATCTTTTTATTAAAATTACCATTTTCAACAACTATTATTAACAAATATAAAACAATGATAAAATAATTTTTAAAATATAAATTAAACAAAATCTAAATAGGAATCAGTTAATAAGGCAAGAAATTAGATTTAATGACCTAATTGCAAGTCTTTAGCGAAATTAAAATATTTCTTTTGGGTCAATGTTTTGACCGAATTTCGTCTTTTCAATTTTTTTATGTCTTGAGCTTTAGGACCAAAAGTTGTAAGAGTAATCTTGATGACTGTAACGAAAGGATACTGATCAGATATATTAATCACATTTCAATTTTTTATAGGTGTTACTGGAGCCACAGGGATGCAAGAAAAGTCCCAATCTAGGAACTTGCCATATTTCCAAAGTTAGTCGGTCTTCGATCTTCAAGAAACAAACCGATTGTTCTTGTTGTGGAAGGAATTCTAACTGAATTTTATTCACGCTTAACAAGCGAGTTGCAAAGTTTGCCTGTAAGTTTGCACATTACTTCTAAGGCTTACAATGTCTGACCGAATCAATATATTTTACATCATACATTCTTCAGGTATAATTAATTTTAATAATATTTATATCAATAAATATGAGTATATCTTATATGTTAAGTTTCTATGTAAAAATTGATAGATGGAATGATCAGTAATAAATCCACTTAATTATAACTTTGTAATTTCATGTTAGTATAAATATATATTATTTATTTTATGATATTAACAACATATCTTTACACGACATATATATCTTTTCATATGTTTTTTACAAATTTTAAGTTTAATTTGATTAATAATGTTTGTTTAATTATTTTTTTTAAATGTATTTATAGAAACAATATATTTTTTTAGATATGTTTATGAAAATAATAGATAATTATATTGTAAATTATAATTAGTTAGATTGTTTTTTATATAAAAATTATATAAATATCTTATGTAACAACTTTTACAAATTTATATTTCAAAAATAACTTTGCTACTTTGGAAATAATTATTATTTTCGAAACTAAGAAATCTAAAAAGAAAAAAAGTTGACCATTCAAAAATAAAAATAATCCATTTTTTATTCTACAAATTCTTGATATGAGTGGTGGGATAAGTATACATATAGCAATTTTTTAAACAACACCCTAAAATGCTAAATAACAAAAATTATTTCAAAAATGATATAATATAAATTTTTTAATTAAGTATTAGGTGATAGAATTACTCGGTTGTGTCCAGTCTGCTATATCACCCCCAACCCCCACTCTTCAGGATGGACCCAAAGGTTCATCATATCGTTATATTAGTCAGGTGTATAACTATTTTAATATTAAAACTTAAGTAAATCTGAAATTATAGAAAGAATCTATACATCGTTACCACAAAAACTGGTGATAGAATATAAGTTTTAAAAATGAATTAGACTTATATTTAATATTTGAATTAGACATTTAGTATCTAATCTTATAATATATAAAGCAGGATACAAAATTTCAGCTAAAAATGCTACTCTTCAAATCTTTCTTACTTTATATATAATTATATTTTAGTTTTTATTTTATCATATTACAATTTACATTTTTGTTATTTTATCACTTAACTTAAATTAGGTTTTGGATAGAGAACATTTTTTTAAATTTTATTTTCATGATTGATTATTTACTTCTTCTTCTTCTCCGCTTTATTACGATTTCCAGGTTTATACAGGTTATCCAGTTTTCCCTCTAATTTTACTTTTCCATTTTTGACGGTCCTGAGCATCAATATTTGTAGGATTCATGCTTCTCATATCCGACCCTATCACATTTGTACACGTCATCTTGGGCCTTCCTCTAGGTCTTGATCCTCCTACCTCCATCAAGGTTCATCTTGTTATACGTTCTACATGCCCAAACCATCTTAGTCTATCGTCGCATTACCACTCTAATCATTACAATATCCAATCTTGCTCGCAATTCTTTACTAGTCTTTCTCACTCTCAGAGATACACCACACCTCCATCTAATCATTCTCATCTCTGTTCTTTCTAATTTGACTTCGTGAGTCTTTCAATGCCCATCACCGCCATAAACTAAACAACTCCTCACACAACTTACGTAAACCTTCGCCTTTAACATTAGAGAAACATTTTTATTTGATAGAATAAACTACCACTCTCTGAACTTCTTCCATGCTTGTCTGACCCTAGCAACAGCGGCAGAATCTAGACCACCATCTGCGTTGAGCATATCACCCAAATAACAAAATTTATTCAATTTTTTTTTAACCCATTGCCATTACTCAGACCACCATTTTTTAGGTTATCATTATTATGTACCCCTTTCATGCACGTTCTACAAATAAAGGTCATTAACATCATTTAATAATTTTATCCCTCAATTCTTTGCTGTTCGCCATTAATACAAGGTCATCTGCATATAATAGCTCCCATAGAAGTTTTTCACGCATTTCTCTAGCCACCACACCCATTACTAAGATAAGATCCTGGCGCCTTTAGTATCACTTTCATATTTTTTACTATACATCTACCATCTCCTTAATAACAAATAATCCACTACACTTTTGGTACTACCCGATTTATAATTCACCAGCTTCTCTGATTCTTGTTTTACAGACAATGATATCCTCTCCAGTTCCAGATTTCTCATGCCGTAACTGAATCCTCCATGTACTCCTTCATAACCCTAACTACTCGCTCCCACATGTCCTTTCAAATCACCAGCCAGTATAATCCCTTCTTCATTTGCCAGCCTCGATGTCGTCCTCAATAGACTATATATCTTTCTCTTCTTCACTTCTTCCAACCTGAGGATCATATTCCGAGATAATATTATATAGCTTTCTACCAAAAATTATCTTGATAACCATTATCTGGTTATCTAGCCTTCTCACTTCAACTACTTTGTCCACCAATTTTTCCGCAACTCATCTCCAACTCTAGCCTTACCATCATTACAACCTTGCCAAAAGAATTTATACTTTTCACTAGTTTTGCCAATCATTTTTGCATCATTACCTTTTCATCTTGTATCCTGTAAGCCGCACACATCTATATGCCTTTTATGCAATACATCGACTTCTCCTGCTCTTTCCGTCATACTCCCAATATTCCATGTCGCAACTCGATCCCCCTTAAATTGGTTTCTCCACTTATTATCAGATGGTTTATGGCCTTCATAAGTTTCATTTTCATGAATCGTGGTTCCACCAGGTTTTCAATCCATCTTTTTGTCGTAGACGGATAAGGAGACCAACGGGGTACTTTGGGCTGTACCCCTCTTATGCTTTGTTGTAACCATAGGGAAATTTTGTAGCAAGGTTTTTAGAATCTGATGCCCTCCATAACCAGATAACAGGTAACCTTTTAAACCTCCATTTGCCGCCAAAAGACGTTGCCACTACCCCGCTACGATGAGGTTGAAGGTAGGATTTTGGGAGAGATGATTGATTATTTACTTATTATTTTTATAACGATATATTGAGATATATGTTTTTGAGAGATATATATCATTTGAAACGTATATTTAAAATTTGACTTTGAATATATTAAATACATTATTTAATAAAGATGAATCTGTTATCTAGTCACCACCAAATATTTTCTCAAAATAACACTTTAGGAGCTTTAATACAAAATAATCATAACATTTATTAAAAATTTTTTAAAATATAAATTATATGAATGAAATAAATATCCACATATTTAACGCTATCTATATATTTGTTTTAATGAAGATATGTAATAAAATTAATCACAAAAAAGCAATATTATTTATAAAGCAAAACATATATTTAAGTAGCATTAATATTTATTTATAAAAAATTACAAATCGTTTGATTTTTAATTTGAGAGGATTTAAGAAGTAATAATTATAAAAAAATGTTTAATTTTATTTAGATCATATTAAATGTGAATGACCAAAATAAAAAATATTTTTATTGTTCCTGTAAAGATATTTTGTGTCAGACATTATAATTTCATTAAAATAAATTTGATTAAAATTAAATAAAATAATCGCATATTTTATAAAAGTACTAAATATATCAACAAATATTTTATCAAAATAAAGGCATTTAGATTTAAAATATAAAATAAGTATAAATTTATG